ACACACACTCACTCTCTCTCACACACACACACACACACACACACAGAGAGAGAGAGTCTGACCATAACAGAACCAATGACCAGTGATGCAGCATATGAAAACATTTTAACCAAAACATTTCTATAGTTACTTCGTTCAGGATCTATGATTACGAAAATGCTTTTTTTACAGGAGGATAATCAAGTAATACAGTGAATATGAAAGCTATAAAAGGTCTCTACAATAACACCCTGAACACCACATGCAGTAATAAGGGCTGTAGTGATCAGGATTCTGAAGGATCACAAACACAGCCATCAAACCAGAAACTACAGGTCAGCTAAATCTAATATGTCTAAATTTAATTTCCTTTCTAGGCTTACAAAGCTCGAAAGAAATCAGGTTTCCTCACTGAGCCTGTCTGTACATCACAATTCTAGTTTCTATTTACTACTACATTGTTTTGTATTTGATTGCTTATTTTATATTACTTTGTGATATTCCATTTCATTGCCTTTCTCCTCTTGTTCGTGAACACAATAATAAACTCGTGATGATGTGGTTCTTCACTGACAGATGATCGATATTTAACACTCTGTTTTCATGAGACATGATTTCCACAAACACTGATGATCAGAATCATGAATTCAGAGACCGAGAACTCGACCGCTGGAACTTTACCTCCGCTCCACGCCACCCCGGGAACTAGTGCTGAACGCGACTAGTCGAGTAGATTAGTTAGTTGTCACGAACGCTTCCTTACCTTCGAGACTCATGATGAAGACGGCCAGCAGAGCGTCGGGTGAGCGTCTGCGTCGCGTCGCTGCTCCGCTGCTGTCGGTGTCGGTCTCCGGTGATCCGTCCATGTTTCCGCCTTTACACACTGCGATTATTCTCTTTCCCGACACGCGCACAACTAACGTTAACTGAGATGAAAGCGGCGCTGTATTCCGGTAAGAGCCTCAGATCGACGGTAGTCCGTAGGAACCAGCGGGTCACTTTACTCTCTCTGTCTCTCTCTCTCTCTCTCTCTCTCTTTCTCTGTCTCTGTCTCTGTCTCTGTCTCTCTCTCTCTCTCTCTCTCTCTCGTGCGCATGCGTGGGCGTTTGTGGAGCGTGCGTGAGTGGTGTGTGAGCGTGGCGAGTGCTGTTCGAGAGTGTGGTGCAGCGTGTGAGTTTTCCAAACATTTCTTTACTGTATCTTTCTCCTTTCTTTTTGTTAGTGGTTTTTAGTTTTCTTTCTGTCTTGGAGGCGGCGGCTGCCGGCGTAGCTGGTCAGCATGTCTGCGGGAGAGCGGTTTAGTTTTCAGAGTTTAACGCGCCGGCATGCTATTAAATTGTCTCCTCCTGAAGGAGCTTCTATAGAAGTTTGCAGTCTCGCGGTAGGTGAGATTGTTGGCTTTGAAAGCATTAAGTCGGCTTCCAGGATGAATAGTGCAGTTGTCATTTTTTTGGATGAGGTGGATAAAGTAAACCGTTTGCTTGAGAGTGGGATTACCATTAATGACACATACACACCTGTTCTGTCTCTGATAAGCCCTATAAAAAAGGTCATTATTTCGAATGCACCCCCGTTTTTGAAGAATGAGCTTTTGGAAAAAGAGCTAGGGAGATATGGAAAATTAGTGTCACCGATAAAAATGATTCCTATCAGTTGCAAATCTCCTCAGCTTAAACACGTGGTGTCTTTTAGGAGACAAGTTAATATGATTCTTAAGAAAAACGATGAAGAGTTGAACTTGGTTTTCAAGTTCAAGGTTGAGGATTTTGACTATACTGTACATGTAACTACAGAACTGATGAAGTGTTTCGGGTGCGGAGCGGTGGGGCACGTGATTCGGTCGTGCCCGAATGAACGACGCGCGGGCCGGGCGGCTGCCGATGCGGTGGAAACGCCGCCCGCTAGGTCTGATGGCGGAGCCGCTGCACCGGTTGAGCCGCGAGAGATTGTTATGCAGGTCTCACAGGCAGATGATCGAGCTGATAGTGGTTCGGGAGATGAGGTGGTGGAGGATTCAGAGAATAAACAGAGTGATCAAAATGTGCAAAATATCTCCGAAGGAGATTTAAATGTTGGTCACATAGCAACTAGAGTAGTGGAGTCAGTGTTGTTCAATGAGGAAGATGTTTTGATGGATGATGATTTTTCTAAAGTGTCAAACAAGAGGAAGAGCCCAGAAAACAAATCAAACACTGAACAAGTCACAAAAGTGACAAAAATGCACCCAACGGTTTGCTCATCCCAGTCACAAGAAAACTTGTCAAGTACACAGGAGGGTGAAAGTGAATGTGGAGACACACAAGTGGATGCTGAAAGTGTTTACTCGTTTACCAAAATTCTGACCTTTTTGCAAAAAACAAAAGGAATGAGATCTGTCAAAGTAGATGAGTTCTTTCCAGATTTGAAGTTGTTTCTTGACTCAGCTAGGTTTTTCATGAAAAATACAGAACCTACCACACAATCAACCTTTACTGATCAGGAAATATTTCGTCTTAAGAAGTTGATGGTGAAAGTTAAAACACAAATAGCAAATGATGTTTAAGTGTTTGTTGTTTTGTCTTTTCTTTTTTGCGGTTTATTTTATTGTATTGTTTATTTGTAGACCTATTTTTGTCATGTGTGACATAAAGCTGGGTTCCTTAAACATTAATGGTGCCAGAGAAGATGTGAAAAGAATTTCTCTTTTTAATTTGTTTAAAGTTAGGAAACTAAATGTTATTTTCTTACAAGAAACACATAGCACAACTGAAAATGAAACTGACTGGAAGAAGGAGTGGGATGGGGAAGTTTTTCTCAGTCATAAGAGCAGTAATAGTGGAGGTGTTGGCATCCTCTTTTCTAAGGATTTTTCACCTATTTCATGTGTTACTGAAGAAATAGTTAAGGGTCGACTGTTAAAAATACAAGCTACCTTTGAGAATGTGAAAATGTCCTTTATCAATGTATATGCTCCGAATATGGGCATTGAAAGGATGATATTTTTAAACATTCTAAACACTGTACTTAATAAATGTAATGTGCATGAGTATATGTTCTTGGGCGGTGATTTTAATTGCACTGCAAATGCAGCTCTAGACAGGAACCATCCTGAACCGCACAGAGCTAGTATGAGAAGCCTTATTAGTATAATTGAAACAAATGATTTATGTGACGTCTGGAGATTTTTTCACAATACTCAACGTCAGTATACTTGGACTCATGCAAAGGATAATGTTTTATCTTTGGCAAGGCTTGACAGATTTTATTGTTTTAAACATCACATTAATGTTCCTAGAGGCTGTTCAATACATCCAGTTGGCCTTTCAGATCATTCCCTTGTTCAAGTGTCCATTTTTGTTAAGGATGTGAAATGTAACAGTGCTTATTGGCACTTCAATGTGTCTTTGCTTTCAGATAATGTTTTTATTGATGCTTTTAAGTATTTTTGGAGTGGTTATAAAAAAACAAAATCTGAATACACCTCTTTACAACAGTGGTGGGACATAGGGAAAGGAAAAATAAAGCAACTATGTTTACAATATACTCTCAATGTCACAAGGGACATGACAAAATCTATGAACGTTTTGGAGAATGAGATAGAGGAATTGCAAGGATTGGCAAATTCCACAAAAGATGGAGAATATTTTAAAGATCTTAAAAGAAAAAAGTTAGCTCTATCCAGCCTTTTGGGTTTTTCTACTCAAGGTGCTTTAGTTCGGTCACGGTTTCAAAATATTGTAAAAATGGATGCTCCCTCTCACTTTTTCTTTGGCCTTGAACGAAAGAATGGACAGAAAAGGCTCATGCATTCTTTGCGGTCCAGTACTGGGCAGTTGCTGAAAGAGTCTGTAGAAATACGAAAATGTGCAGTTGGTTTTTATGAGAAGCTTTTCAAAAAGGAATTCCAAGAGAATCCTGAGGTGGCACAGTCTTTTTATAGAGACTTACCTAAGGTTTCTGAGAAAGCTATGGCAGAGCTGAATACAAGGATCTCTGCTGAGGAGCTGTATTCTGCGTTACAGAGCCTAGAAATAGGCAAGGCTCCGGGTATCGATGGACTTCCTGTTGACTTTTACAAAGCTTTCTGGCCTGTCCTGGGAGAGGATCTACTGCTTGTTCTCAGAGACAGTCTAAGTAAAGGGCTGTTACCTTCGAGCTGCAGGAGAGCAATTCTCACTCTTCTCCCTAAGAAGGGGGACTTGCAAGAGATTAAGAACTGGCGGCCAGTGGCGTTACTCTGCACGGATTATAAAATTTTGTCCAAGGTGTTGGCTTTGAGGCTGAGAAAAGTGATGGAGCATATCATTCATGTTGATCAGACATATTGCGTTCCAAATAGGTTAATATCTGATAATATTTTTTTAATTCGTGATTTCTTAGATCTTTCCAAGTCATTGGGCTGCGAAAATGTTTTAATTTCACTAGACCAGGAAAAGGCTTTCGATAGAGTTGAGCATCAATATTTGTGGCAAACTTTAGATGCTTTTGGTTTTAATTCTAGTTTTATAAATATGATTCAAGTCTTGTACAATGATATTGAGAGTATATTGAAGGTCAACGGTGGTTTAAGTGCTCCTTTCAAGGTTCAGAGGGGAACTATAACCTAATATCCAGCGACTACATTGTCCCTAGCAATAATTTTTGATGCTTTCAACTGATTTCCTTAAGAACTGCAGCTCAAACCATTTCAAATATAGTGAATTAAGCTACAAACTCTATCATAATGCGCAGTGTTTCCATCTAACATGTGTTTTGAGCTGCAGCTCGTTATTAAAGGGGAGTTTCACTAGTTAGCAGTAAACCGGTTACCTCACCTCAATATGTTCATAGATTTGTGTTGATGATATCTTTGGAATGGAAATATTGATATTTTATTTGTAAACATCATGATTTTTTCGCTAATTTCAGTTAATGTCATAAAACTAGCGAGCTGAGTCAGTAGTAGCGCTGAGTGTCGTGTAAACATGACTGAAGACGAGACAAGACGAACCGATTCAACTGAGTGAGTCGTTTACGCTGGAACCGTTCCGATTGATTCAAACTCGTGATTCGATTATTCAGTTCAAGTGATTCACAGATCACTGTTGATTCACTGTTTCGAAGCGATCCAATCAGATAGTGAATCATTTGATTTAGATCGGAACTTCGCTTTTTATTATTATTATTATTATTAGACAATCAATCAATACAATCAATACAATTATAAACATAAAGACAAAATAAAAGAAAGACAAAAAATATACAGACTTGTTGCCAGGATAAAAACAATGCTTTCAAATGAACAGAGCTTTGGATAGTTTGCATATACTTGTCTTAAGTCCACTTTGAATAAAGAAAAGAGAGGTTTAGAGCTAGTAAACTTCTGTCCAGCCACAGAATTAACTTTCATTCTACAATCGGACTCGGACAGGGGTGTAACAACTGGCACAATTTATTAGTGTCATGGAAATATGATTTTCTCAACACATTTGGGCAGAAATAAATGACATGAAAGGCAGCAAAGTTTAAATCCACTCTGATTACGCTTCGATCCGTTAAACATTAAAACTCCAGCACGATCCTCTGTGTTTCTAAAATACATTTACAACCTGAGAGGATCATCCATTATATTTACATCACCACAACATCCATAATCCATATTCATATTCACATTCATATGTCAGCATGAGGTCCTGTGAGTGATTCTAGGTTCAAGATCTCGACTGGAAACATTAAATCAACAAATAAACTTGAATGAACAGATATACACGTAATATTTATGCAATAACCCATTTACTCAAAAATATATATATATAAATAAAAAACCCTGATACCATGATTTAGTATTATTAACAGTTCACTGTAAAGACTATATAATGGTTTGCATGCAGTGAAACCAGGGACTCCTGGAATGAAGCGATGCCCTGGAGGACAGTAGCAGGAAGATGTGATTGAATGTAACAGAGTTCAGTGCTGTTATATGTAGACTTGCAGCATTTACAGATTATGACCCAGTTATGTGGTTTCTGTAGATATCATCTGAGATCTGCACATTATACAGTGAGCTGAATATTCATGATATTATTCACCTTTAGATGCAGAATCAGAGTGTGTGTGT